AGGAAACCTAGAGGGAAATGCGATGCCCTAGGAACCCTATGAGAAATGCACTTACAGTGTCTGAACATTATTGCACATGTATAACTGGGAGCTGCTTGGCAGGGAATGCAGTGCCATATAGAAGAGACCTTCCTTACAGTGACAAGCATGCCATACGGTACTCATCAAAGAAGCTTCTTTTTTGCAACAGACAGAGACCACTGCAGAGTTGCACATCTGCTCAGGCACAGAGAATATACACATAGGAGCTGCCCAGTACTAGGTGACATATCTGCAGTTGAATCTCTACAACTAAGTCTCGTGGAACATAGCAGAATAAGGGATAGTGAGAGGGCTAATGCACCCCTCAACTCTCACCAGTGAGGCTTCCATGTATGTCAGAGTGTGATGCACACAGAAGGCCACAACTGGCCAAATTTTAAGAGACTAAGAGACTGTAGAGTGTAGGATGGGACTTCTAAATGGAACTTCACCCACCCACGGCTCAGGAACCATTGCAGAAGAAGAAGTGGAAAGATTGTAAGAGCCAGAGCTGGTTCATGAGCACAGGGAGGTGGAGGCCTCCAGACCACTGGAGGCTTGCTCATGTGGGCCTGTGGCAGCAGTGGCATTGAGCATGGGACCCATGTCAGCTCAATTAAACAAGGGCCCAAAGGGGAGGTGAGAAATAGGTGGCAGGCCAGCACTAGACTGAGAACTATTTGAGACTGATTGCTGCTGGGTGAGGGGGAGTATGACTTACATATGACCACTGGATGGGCTGACTAGACTCCAGTGGATGCATTTACACTGAAGCCTATTTGGGTGCAAACACCTGAATGAATAGGACTCAGCATGTATGGCAAAGTGCATTGGGTTTGGTGGGAGGATAGGGGGTGGCATAAATGGGGGAGAAGTCTGGGTTTGAGTGGGAAATGTATGAAATTTAAAAGCTCAATTAAAAATGAAAAAAATAAAAATATCAATTAAACAGGAAGTTTTAAAGATTTTTTTTAAAACTTATATGTATGTATGTATGTACATATGTATGTCTGCATGAGTTTATGTGTACCACATGTGTGTTAATGCACAAAGAAGCTAGACGTTGGAGCGGGGTTAGAGTCCCTGGAACTCAGGAGGATGTAGCAGAAGGATTATGAATTTGAGGCCCACATGGGCTGCATAGAGACCTTGTCTCAAAACAAAAAAGAAGAAACAGAAGGAAGAAAGGAGAAAAGAGGAAGGGAAGGCAAGGAGAGAAGGGAAGGAAATGAAGGGCAGTTTTTAGAACGAAAAATAGAACTTAGAGTGGACTTGTGTTACAAGAAATATTTCAGGCAGCTAGGAGATAGCAGGGAAGTGTGGAGCGACACGAAACTCTTGAGATAGTGATTCCCTTGGGGTAAATTCCCTTCAAAAGATGGACCCTCAACCTGAAACAGGGCAGCCCTGCTACCTACACTATAGCTGAGTAACCCCAAAATACCCAGAAAGACTGTGAGATAAAGCTTATATAGATGTAGATCCGAGAATGTACAAAAACAAGGAAGATCGACAGGGTTCCAAAACAAAGAAACTAAGAACCAGGGAAGTGGGCCACTGAGCTCCTGCTAGCTCTATCGTGGGCTCCCAATAACCTAGAAGGCTGGAGTTTTTAACAGCCCAACTGGAGCAGGAGGCAGGCTCTGGGTAGTCCAGCCACACAACTGGGAAACTTGAAGAGCTGCTAACTATTCTCCCAGAAGCAAAAGGAAAAGTGTTTATCTTGATTTTGCATGAAATAAACAGTTTCCCTAGGAAATGAAAAGTTTTGGATTTTTTTAATCTTACACAGGTTTGGGGTTCAGAGATTCTCTATCAGTCCAGAAACACCAGCCAAGAAATTACCAAGTATATTCTACAGTTGTCTAATCTTTGGGAACCAAGTAGGAGTAGTAACTTTTGTGGAGGGATGTATCCTTCAACCAACAAAGGATTCCACAGAGAAACCCTTTTTGAAAATGAATTCACAGCCTAAATCATAGAAAAGAACTATGGCAATGGTGTCAGTATATACAAGTTCCATGCAAACTCAGGCAGACAATAACCCAGCATAGAGCTGGGAAAATGAACAGCAGACCTCAATCTTATCTGAAGGAGTGTTGGTAACTGATTGCTGCTGGATGAAGAAGAGCTGATCTTCCTAAAACGAGGGACTCTAGATAGGCTGACTAGACTCAGTGGACAGACTTGCACTGGGGAACAGCTGGGGATACTGACAACCCAGTGGGCCTTAACAGAGAGGACAGAGCATATGGGCTCTAGTGGGGAGGGGCTATGGGAGGGTGCCAGTGGGGACGGGGGTATAAAGATAAGATTTTTTGAGATGTTCTGTATGAAATATACAAAAAATTCAATTACAAATACAACTATATTGATCTATATCTAAGCCCATGGTTTCCTGACTGAGTTAGCTTCCTGTTGCTATGATAAAACACTCTAATCAAAACCAGCTTAAGGAGGGAAGAAGATATTTGGTTTATATGTCCTGAACACATTGAGGGATGCCAGGGCAGGAACTCAAGGCAGGAGCCTGGAGGCAGGAACTGAAGCATGGATGTTTGAGAAATGCTGCTTGCTGGCTTGCTCCTCTGGCCTGTATTCTACCTGCTTTCTTATACAACCCAGGACCACCTGCCCAGGTGTGGCACCACCCATGGTGGGCTGGGTGCTCCCACATCACTCAATAATCAAGAAAATGCCTCATAGACATGCTCACAGGACAGTCCAATAGAGAAAATTCCCCAGTTGAGGTTCCCTATTTCCTGGTATGTCAAGTTGACAACCAAAGCTAGCCCTGACATTATGAACTCTTAACCCTCTGGACTCTTCCTTCCAAATAAACTCTTCCTTCTATAAATTGCCTTGGTCATGGTATTTGTATCACAGCAACAGAAAAGTAACTAATGCAGAAACCATGGATGTAAAGTTACAGGCAGTTGTGAGCCGCCCAGTGTAGGTGCTGGGGACTGAATTCAGGTCTTCTGCAAGAGCCATAAATGCTCTTGACTGCTGAGCCATCTTTCCAGTCCCTCAATCACAATTCTCATGCCCCATAACAAACTGTTCTTGTCTATTTTAGAAAGTTATTATTCTGAGTGTGTGTGTGCTTGTGTGTGGATGTGGATGTATACATGCCATGGCCTACATGTGGAGGCCCAAGGGACAACTGATGTGGGGTGGGTTCTCTCTTCCATCTTTATGTGGGTTCCAGGGATCAAATTCAGCCTTGCACAACGGGTGACTTTACCCACTGATCCCTTTACCCAGCCATCTCACTGGCCTCTTTTGTTATTTGTTTATTTTGAGACAGGGTGTCAAATAGCCCAGGCTGCCCTCAATCTCTTTATGTAGCTGAAGATGGCCTTGAACTTCTGATCTTGCCTCCACCGCCCAAGTGCTGGGATTACAGGTGTGTGCCACCATGCCTAGCACTCTTGTAAAAAATTTTAAACTTGCAACATATATTCCCTGTGTTAAGGAGGCTAAACTCCAAAACAAAGCCTTCTCCTAGTATAAGACAGGTGTCCAGTATAAGTGAAATCATATCATCTGTTGATATTTTTAACTTTGAAATTTTGAAATAATTTCAAATTTACAGAAATGTGATAAAAATAGTGTGCCTGTGTTATGCTTTTCAACAACTT